GCCACGCCGAAGCTTTGGGGCCTCAGGGGCCTTGACGCCCTCCCTCCTGGGATCGGGCTACCTCCTGATCATCGGTTTCGATTGGGACTCTGGAGCGGTCTTTGCGCTGGGGGAGTCGTGGTAGGTTCGGTGTATCTGCGCGCGGGGATCGGATGCAGGGGTCAGAACATCACCCTCCTCCACAGCATTGGCGAAGTGCTTCGAGCGTATGGGGTGCCTTTCATACTGGGGGGTGACTTTCAATTCTCTGGTGAGCAGCTTATCGAGTCTGGGTGGCTAGGGGACCTCCAGGCCGAAGTGGTTTTCGATGGCTCTCATTGGACGTGCCAACTTGGAACGTCTCGATCTTCGATTGATTATTTTGTAGTGCCGAGTGTTCTGAAGCCTTTCGTTGACAGTTGCTGTGTGGCGACATGGTCGACGTGCGCGAGGCCGCACCGCCCGGTTGTTTTGACAGTCAGTGGCAGCCCCAGGCAGGTGACGGTACCCAGGCTGAAGAAACCATCGTCACTTCCGCTATTTCGCCCTATCGGGTGTGACCCCAGGCCACTGGATTGGGATGATCTCTTGAAGGTTGTCACGGACGGCAGGTGTTCCAAGGATATGCTGGATACTGTCACTTCCCAGTGGGCCCAGAGGGCTGAACTTACTTTAACTCGAGTTCTCCAAGTGGAAGATGATCCACGTTACCGAGGACGAGGAGGCCCCCCCCCAAGGTGGTCCAGGCCCCCCTCCTAGGCCCGCCTGCGTCCACTCACCCACGCGCCATCGGCGAAGGTAGGGTGTGGCGGGTTTTTGAGAGGAAGCTCCAGGGCATCTTGTATCTCTGGCATGGGCCACGGCCCACCTTGGGGGGTTTGCAATAAGCTGGGCTGATCCTCAGGAAGTTGGTGAACTATGCGTCCCCGTTCACTGATTGCAAGCACTGGGAGTGCTGGAGGCTTCGGATCTTGGCTGTCAACCCTGCTGTGACCTCGGAGCTCAGCGAGTAGATTTGGCAGGTCCGCAAATGAGCCCAAGAACATGAGCATCACGCGGCCTCAGAGAGGGCCAGGGCTTGGAGGTGCTGGTTGTCTGAGGCTCTTACTGGTGGGGCCCGACTTGGACGCAGGTGCACCAAAGAAGTTCCCAAATGGGCCACGTGTGGGTTATCGCAGCTCTCAGGGCCCAACGGTGTTCCTCTGGGTGTCTTGGGAGAAGCTGAAGCACGAGCTCAGGGTTGGCACAAACACTGGGGAGTTGGTCAAGTTTTTCCTGATCCCGATTTCAGCTGGTGCGAAGATGAACCCGAGCTCGAGCCACCGATGCACGAGGAACATGCAGCCCTGGTCCGTTCGTGCAGTACGCATACGGCTGTTGGGGCATGTGGGTTTCATCCTCGGCACTGGTCTTTTCTCGACGAAGGCGCCGTCGCAGTATTCCTGTGCATCTGGGAGCAGATGCAGCGCCTTTTCCACGTGTCCAGGTGCTGGGCACTGCTGCTCCTCGCTCTTCTGCCCAAGCCACCGCCAGACGGAGGGGATCGGCCTATTGGTATCTTCCCGTCTCCCCTCAGGATGTGGCCCAGGTGGGCCCGCTGGAAAGTTGCTGGCCCCTGGGAGCTCGGTCATCCTCTGAGTTTTTGGTTTGGCGATTCGGGCGCTTCCTGCGATATTTGCGCGTGGAAGCAGAGTTTCAAGGCGGAGTTGGCTCGGGGCCAGGGCAAGGCAGCAGGATCTAAGCTCTTAGACCTGGTCAAGGCTTACGAACGCGTGCCTCATCATGTGCTCGCTGCTGCCGGAAAACGTTACGCTTCCTCCTGGCCACTTACAGCTTGGACAGGATGGTGTTATTTGACAGGATCGCGACCGAGGTGGTATCGACCAATCGGACGATTGTCGCTGGTTGCAGTTGTGCTACGTCGTTGCTGCGTCTCGTGCTTCTATCCCCTGCTGGTGCCGTTGTTCAGCGGTTTGCGTCGGTGGATCTCGCTATTGTGGTTGGTGATTTGCAGCTGCAGAGGGTTGGGGATGCTTGGGCAGTCGCTCGTGATCTTAAAGGTGCGGATAACCTCCTCACCTCTGAGCTGAGTCAGATCGGGCTCAGCATTTCTCTCCCCAAGAAGCACCAGACGGTCGTCGGTCAGAACCATCGGTGTGTCGTTCGCAAGGTGGACCCGTCTTCGGCTAAATTCTTGACCAGATCGGTACGGAACCTGGGATTAGATTTTGGTGGTGGTCATCGTGTACTCCACGCTGTTCGTGCGAAGCGCTTGGGCAAGATGGCGTCCAGAGTCCCCAGGTATAAACGGTTGGCCAAAGCTGGGGGCAAAACGCTCAAATTGGTCCAGACGGGCCTCAAGCTTGGTATGCTATGGGGTGTCGGGGTTTATGGCATCAGTCATGCTCATCTACTGCGGGTTCGGCAGCTTGCGCGTGCTGGCTTTGTGCATAGGCACACTGGCAGATCTCTTTCGCTCGATCTCATGATCGCAGGCCGCCAGGTCGACCCAGCCTACGAGTGTAACCGCGGGCTTATTTTATTATGGGTGCGTGCTCTATGGGATGGTTGGGCGGTGAGGTCCGACATGGCGCGTCTTCTGAGCGGGGCTTGGGCTCGTTTGTCGGTGATTCCTGAGAACAAGGTTTGGTCCGATATCCGTGGCCCCGCCTCGGCCCTTGTGGGCGCGATGTTCAGGATTGGCTGGGAGTTTTTAGACCCGTTCCGCTGGTTGACCCACAGGGGTCCCATTCTCATTGAGAAAATGTCACCGAGGGATGTTGGTCGGTCAGCTGATGAGGCTACCGAGCGCTGGATCTGGCAGCAGGTGCTGGCGAAGCATGCGTCATGGGCCTCGTTGTGCCCGCGTCCCCCTCTCCTCGAGCCTCTGAGGGCCCTCGTCCTTCCTGCCTCGCTCAAAGGGCCCGACTGGACATCAAGGGCTCCTCAAGTGCTTTTGTGCGGGAGGATTTTGGTCTCAAGAGAGGCTATATGAAGCTGGTGGAGCTGTCGACCCAGAGCGCCTTGCGTGCAGGAGCGTAGGCTCCACCTGGCATCGTTTTTACGACTGTCCTGTGCACGCCGAATATCGTCGGGAGTTCAAGGCTGGGTTCGAGCTGGCCAGTCAGATGCGAGAGTTGGCTTAGAAGACTGCCGACCGCTCGCTGATTTGGACCCGTTTCCTTGTCCCTGATCCGTCCTGGCTGTTCCCGAGCCCTTGCCTCGAGGAGCGTGTGGTTTGGACCTTGCGTCCGCCCGATTTGCTGCTCGACGTGCATGTGTTTGGAGATGGCTCGGGTGTGCATGGGCAGTTTGGCCGCCTCAGGCGATGTGGGTGGGGGCTCTGCTCGCTTGACTCCCAGTTGAAGGAGGCTGCGAGAGTGTATGGTCCCCTGCCCAGTTTATGCCAGTCAGTGCCCGCAGCCGAGCTTTTCAGTTTCCTAATGGCTTTGCGCTACATGGGAGCTCAGATGAAGTTCTCTACTGACTGCAATGGCCTTGTAGACATTTGGCGCCAAGGGGCTGGTGCTGGCACTGATGCCAACGACCCCATGGCCTACTTATGGAGGGAGGTTTGGAGGTTGGTTGCTGACCGTGGGGTGGAGGCGGTGGAGGTGACTCACGTCAAGGCACACTCGCCTGTCTCCGCCATCGCGGATGGTGTGATCACTGCTTGGCAGCGTTTCGGCAACGCTCAGGCTGACCAGTCAGCTAAGCGAGGTGCGGCGATGCATCCTGATGCGGAGATGTTGCGCGAAGCTCACCGTGCCTCGCGCCGTGCTGTCCAGATGGTTGCCCAGTCTTGCACTCGTGTCTCGGCGAGGATAGGAGTGGTCACTCCGCTCGATGCGCAGGCCCAGGCTTTAGGTAGGGCCATTGGCACCATCGAGGGTGGTTTCGGCCCGCCTCGGCCGCACTCGCGTTTTGATCCTGCCGTCACGTTTTGTGGCCGTCGCTATCGATGCATGGTGTGCCTCCGGTCGGCCAAAGGCCGTCTCTCGTTGCGAAAGCTCAAGTGCCAGGACCGAGCTGGCATGCATTCGTTGTATCGAGCGGGGCCAGTTTTGTTGTGTTCCTTGTGCGGGGCCTACTCTGCAAAACGCAGCCCGGGACACATCGAGTTTTTTTCTGGGGCCTCCAATTTTGTTGCGGAAGAGGAGGCTCGCAGAGATGGCTAGCATGCCGCCACTTCCCTCGTTCCCTCTGTCCTCTGGGTCTGGGAGTGGGTCGGACGTGGGGGTGGGGTGGTCGGGGCAGGAGCATCTCTCGCCTCCTGTGTCCCAGGCTGTATCGGCCTTGCGGGAGGAATTTCAAGGCCTCCCTTTTGCCAGCGATTCGGATGACGACGACGACCTTTCCCGCGATCTGCGGAGCTGGGTCGAATAGCGTCTCCGTCGCTGGCCGCCAGGGTTTTTTTTAATCAGGCTAGTACGCGTGCGGCTGGTCTTTGTCAGTGCAAAAAAATCCTTTCCTTTCCTTGCCCCTGCTCTTTCCTGCTTCCCTTGCGCTCCTTGCCTCCTATCCCCCACCCCTCTGCAGATCTCACGACAGGTTCTGAGGCGTTTCCAGCGTGTCGGGGCCATCGGCGGGGCCCCCGAGGCCCAGCCGCCTTGGCCTAGGAAGGGGGCGAGATGGGGCGAGATCGGCCAGTCATGTTCCGTGCAGCGAGCGGCTGCCGCTGCACAATTGGTTTGGGTAGTTCATCACCACTCGCAGAATGCAGCTGCCACCAGCGTGCACACACACAGCCACGAGTCATTTTTGCATGTGTAGCCTTTCGGCAGGTGTAGCAGGGACTCCTGGAACTTGTTTTGTCTTGGCCCTGCCTTTCTAACCCTCCTATGTCCCCGCTCCGTCTTCCTGTCCCGCCCAAGACTTCCAAACGGCGTCCACAAGTCTTTTCCAAAGTGGGAGTTCAGCTTGCGCTCTTGTTTTTGGGACTCTGTGGCCTTCGGCCGGCACGCGATATTGCAATTGCACCGCTGTTTCGCTCGATCTTGCGCCACCGAATTTATCGCCAGGAGCTGCAGGTGGTCGTAGACCAGGCTTGCCCCGCGGGAAGCTGAGCAGAAGGAAATGGAGGAAGAGGAAACGGAACAAGGCACGACAAAAGAGGGTCATAAGCAGGAAGAGCAGGCTAAGCTGGGATAGCAGGCGGAGCCAACCCAGGAGAAGGAGGACTAGCAGCAGCAGGATGATGAAGAGAGGAAGGAGCCGAAGGATGCGGAGGAGGAGGAGGAGGAGGAGGAGGAGGAGGAGGAGGAGGAGGAGGAGGAGGAGGAGGAGGAGGAGGAGCAGGAGGTGGACGAGGAGGAGAGGGTGGACGAGGAGGAGAGAGAGGAGGAGGAGGAGGAGGAGGAGGAGGAGGAGGAGGAGGAGGAGGAGGAGGTGGACGAGGAGGAGAGGCGAGAGGAGGAGGAGGAGGAGGAGGCGGAGGAGGAGGAGGAGGAGGAGCAGGAGGTGGACGAGGAGGAGAGAGTGGACGAGGATGAGGAGGAGGAGGAGGAGGAGGAGGAGGACGAGGCGGAGGAGGAGGAGGAGGAGGAGGAGGAGGAGGAGGAGGAGAGGGTGGACGAGGAGGAGGACGAGGAGGAGGAGGACGAGGAGGAGGAGGAGGAGGAGGAGGAGGAGGAGGAGGAGGGGGAGGAGCAGGAGGTGGACGAGGAGGAGGAGGAGGAGGAGGAAGAACAGACGCCGGGGGACAGGAGGAACATCAGGGATGGAGGAAGGATCAGAAAAGGAGGAAGCGTGGAGCAGAGAAGAAGGATCAGGGAGGAGGAGGATGAGCAGCAGAAGAAGCAGGAGCAGGGGGAACCGATCTTGTTTGCGACTTCTTGTTGAGCAGATGGCCAAGGATGCGACCGTGCCGATGGTGCGACCCAGCTGCCGCCGCTTCCCTGGACGGTCGATGCCCAATTACAGCACGTCCAGAGTACCGAAAAGCAGTGCGAACTCGGTGGTGTGTCCGTACACTACGAGGCTGCCAGGATCAGATCCTGCGAAGACACAGCGCCTGCCTTGCATTGCGTGGGTGCCCCGCTTGATCCCGCAGGGCCGACCGCAACTAGGCAGCCCCTGGAGCTCGAGCCATGTCCTGCTGCCATGCGATCGCGCATTGGCCAGCACGCCGCATTCAAGCCAAGGCCCCGTCGAAATGTGCCAGCGTGTTCTTGCCCTCCGCAGTGCACGCGCTTTTTCAGAGAACGCTCGCGTGCGCCTCGTCAATGACAGCCGCTGCGTGCCGCTTGCTTGCATCGCAGGCCTTGATGTCATCACCCCAACAACGGAGTGCCCCGCCCCTCAGCATCTGCTCGCAGTCCAGTATGCCCTTGCGCACCTCGTCCGTCTGGTCCCCTGCCAACGTTTGCAGAGTCAATGCCTGTATCTGCCGCTCAATCCTCTACTCGGTCTGAATTGCGCTCTCATCGTGCATGCCCAGCGGCGCGCGTGTTGCTCGAGCTGAAGGCCTCGCCATGTTCGAGGGCCTTCTCCACGCCCTGTGGCTTGGAAAGGCTGGCACCGGCTTGAGTTCCAAGCTCATCCGCTCCTCGTCCAAGGTGCGTGTCATACTCGTCGGAAAGAGAATTAACTGGTTGGGGGGAAGGGCTTGGGGATACAGCAGTAATGCACAGTTGCATGACGATGCAGTTAATGATGCGCGCGGCCGTCTGCACCTGTCATCCTAGTGGAAGTGATTTGTCGCTGGAGCGCACGAGCCTTCATCCAATGATAACGGAAGGTATTGCCGTGGCGGCCCTGCTCCAGCATCGATTCCATCGTAGGGCCAGTGCGATGGCGATGGCGATGTTTTAGTAACTTTTCGTCTATCGTGGATCTGGGCAGCCTGGGGGTGGGCGGGATGTTCAGCATTGCGATTTTATTCTAATGCGGAACCGATGGTGAATTCCTTATTTGGTCCCGCTCGTGATAAGGACCTCGCGAATGCAGACTCCTGGCCCCTCCATGCTCTGGCCACGCCCTCGCCGCAACCGCCAAGATACCAGCGCTCGCTGGAGTGCGACGATGGACAGGACGGAGCCCTGCAGCGTGTCTGACATTGCGACAGGTGCCCATTCAATTTGCAGTGAAAGCCCGAGAGGGCATCCATGTTCGGTGGCGCCGAGGTGGTGCCCAGCATCACTTGTTCGCTTCCCAGGATGAGCGTCAGCCCGCCGGCCACGTCCGAGGTGCTCGTCTCTCTCTCGTCAGCACAGGTCAGCACCGCATCGCCGCTGGAACACCGTCAGTGCCCCATGCTCGACAGTGCTCGGCGGCGTGGCTTCTTCCGCCACGGTGGCGTGGCATGGTCTCCAGCGTGCACCCGCTGCAGCTCCCTGGGAGCCTCGGCCTGCCTGGGACCGTCACCGCGGAGCGCCGCCCCTCCCGGTGTGGCCCGGCCCCTTCGCCGAGCCGGCCTGCAGCCGGCCTGCAGCGCCTGGTCCACCAGGAGCTGCCCGCAGCACTCACAGTGCAGCCCTCCACCGCCGGCACCAGGACGGGGCGAGGGGCCACTCGGCAGGCGGCGGGGGGGGGGGGGGGCGCGCCGACTCCGCGGCAAGCGCGGGCGGCTGGCCGCGGGCCTCCGGGGGTGCGGCGCGCTCGGGGGGACTCGGCCCTCGGGCCTCGGGGGGGATGGCCCCGTGGGAGTTCCGTGGGAGTTCGCCGGATGTTCCGGCAGGAGGCCAAGTTCCCAGCGGCGTCTGCACCTCATGGGGTTTGGGTTTTCTGGCTTCGGCAAAGCAGAGGAGAGTGGAGGGCAAATGGTAGAGATCGGAGGGGGGACAGTGTGGAGCAGAGGGCAGAGAGCCGAGACTATCTAATTAGTGGCCTTCGGCCCATCCCGCCACCGAGCTTCGGTCTTGGACAAGAGGCCTCTCGGGGTCTCTTGGGAGGCCTCTGGGGCTCTGGGGTGCGTCTTGGGGGCCTCTGGGGGCCTCCTGTCTCGGAGGCCTCCTGGGGGCGGAGTTCCAGTTTTCCCCCTTAGGCATCTCTTGGGCGTCTTGGGGGCCTTGGGCCGCTTGGGGCGATTTTTGTTGGCCTTACTGGGCAGTCTTGGGCGATCTGAGGGCTCAAAAGCGGCGAATATTAGTATCATGCAGATTTCAAGTCTTGTATATTCTGAGTTTTGCATTTGGGGCACACGAAACATTGCCCGCAGCTGCCTGCAGCAATTTCTATGGCTGGTAACTGCCTGACCTCAGGGACTGGCACTGGCATGTCCCTTCCTGCATGAACAACGAAATTCGTATCCTCTGCCTGTGTCTTCGTCTCCCCCGCCCCCCCTTGCATGGCGTGAAGCGGGGATCTCTGGCCCGGGTCTCCATTGTCCTTTACTTGTTGTGCCATTTCCCGTGCCACTTTGTCCAGGTCGCCAGGCTGGCACGGCTTCTTCTGCGAGGGCGATTCGTCTCCTCCTCCACCTCCTTGTCCCTCCCTTCCTATCCCGGGGACGGCAAAGAGGGGGGTGATGACTCGGGGGGGGGGATTCCATGGCGTGGGCCATAATATTTCACCAGATTTCATGGCGTCTCTTCCTATGTCAGTACGTCCCTGGCCCCCCCCCCCACCCCGGGCCGCGCACGTGCCGCCGGCCACGACTTGCATCCCCCCCCTCTTGGACGACCCCCCTCTTGGCCGCCCCCGACTGCCTCTCCCCCCTCTGCGCGCATCAGGGGGCTCGGGGCCTGGAAGCTGCTGGGAGCGAATACAGTGAGCGGCTTGAATAAGGAACACTTACTGTCGTTCCTTAGATTTTACATGCGTTATTTACAGTTCCGTATGCGTTATCTATGATGTATCGTTCCTTATGCGTTATTCCTTGGGATTAAAAGAGGCTTCGTTCCTTATTTATCGTTCCTGAGGTCAGGCCGATGACTGTACACTGCCGCGTGCACGGGCGAGCGCGCGGCCGCGGAGGGGCCGACCCCACAGCTGCCGACTCCCGGGCTCCCCCTGTGCTGCCGCCCTGCCCGCGCTTCTTCAGGCAGCGGGGCACCTGCATTCAGGAGGGAAAAAAACACACACAGACACAATTCATCGTCGACTCCCAGGAAAATATGGGAAAATATGGGAAGTGTGGGGGGGGGGGGGGAAGACAAACACCCAGAAAATATAGGAAAATATGGGGAATCTTTTTATTTGTGTGTATTTATTTGTGTGTCCCAGGGCCCCTTCATGCCTGCCCGCCGCTGCACGTCCCGTATCCTTTGTTGGCTTGTGGCGAGCGCCTGCGCCCACTGTCGTGTGCCAGTCCTGCGTGGTTGGTGGACTTTTGCGAGGGAGCCCGCCGTCGCGAGAGGGGTGCCACTGCTATCTGCAGCCTGAGTTCGCCCTCCGTGCTCGCTGTTCGTCCCTCTCTCTTCTCTTCAGTCACGTTGTTCTCCTATGCCCGTGAGGGAAATGTGCGCGAGTGCCGTCAGCAAGGCCCGACAGGCGCACGCACGCGCAGGTGTTCCGTGCTTGTCGATTTGCCGCTATCGCACAATGATGAGTAACGCGATGCATTTTTTCAGATTTGGGGTAGAGGACCGCTCTTAGGCTGTGCACGAGGCAGTTCGGGGTGAGCGCCGAGGGCTCAGGGAGTTTGTGGCCCCGGGTCGCGCTTAAGGGGCCCTGTGTTGCTGCGCTTGCATTTTCGCCGTGGAAGATGTCAGGTCTCCCAGCGGGCATGCAATGTTGCCCAAACAGCGTTTGCATGTAGGAAGGCTCGCTTCTGTTCCTTCGAGAGGGTGGACGGTCTGCCGGGGCTTCAGCTGGTGCCCGGTTGGCGGGCGTCCGTGGGCGCCCCGTGGGCGCTGCGCGCTGGAGGGGTCATGCCGCGGTCTCGCCCGGAGCCCGCCCGTGGGCTCTTCGCTGGCGCCCCGCGCAGTGGGGTGCCTGCCGAGGTCTCGCCCTGGTACCCGCTCGCAGGCGCCCGTGGGCGCCTCGTGGGCACCCCGCGCCCGGGGAGTGTTACACTAAAGACAGGCCCTAAGTGCAGGCACGACCCCCAGGAGAAGGAGGAGGAGGAGGAGGAGGAGGAGGAGGAGGAGGAGGAGGAGGAGGAGGGGGAGGAGGAGGAGGAGGAGGAGGAGGAGGAGGAGGAGGGGGGAGGAGGAGGAGGAGGAGGAGGAGGCGGGAAGAATGGGTACAGAAATGGGCATCCCTGCGCCCAGCAGCAGTTCCTGTGCCTTCTGAGCAGGAATCGCTGTCGGTGTCGCCGCGGCCTGTGTCCACTTGAGACGGAAGGCCGCCTGCCCAACAGCGGCCGCTGTTGGTTTGGGACAACGTTTGTTTTTGGACATTGTAAGTACCCATTCTTTCCGTACCCATTTCGGGCGTCCAAAGAGTATGCCGAGGTTTCGCCTGGAGCCCGCCCGTGGGTGTCTCGTGGGTGGCCCGCGCCCACGGGGGTTTGCCGAGGTCTCGTCCAGTGCACGCCCGTGGGCGCCTCGCGGGGTGCCACGCGCTGGGGTGTTATGCCGGAGGCTTTGTCTGGCCCTACAAGAGTTGCAGCACGCAGATCCTCCTTTCTAACAAGGGAGGATCCACCACCCTCCCGAGGCCGCACTTAACGGTACACTTCTTCGTATGGCAGTTTTCATATGATTTTGCCCCATCGTCCATCCTAGATAGGAGTTCGTACCAGGCAGGCCGTTATCGGTTCCCCCCTCATCATCCTCTGCAGAAGCAATTATGCGCGCGCACCCGTTCATTAAAATTAATAAGTTTTCAAGAGTCCCTTGCAACCAGTGGGACGAAGTGCACACGCGCGCGTCGTCGCGCGCGCATGCCGAACTCCTCCAAAACCTGATTTCAAAATCGAGAGTCACGAAAGCATATAAGAACACATGGTTTCGCAGCACGAGTTTCAAACAAAGCCTGCGCCCGAACTCTTTCGATTTTTTGTTTAAAACAAAAAACATATTTTTCAACACATTCATAGCATGCCACCAAACGGGCCTGCCGCGCGCGCATGTCGAAATCTTTAGAAGGCGCTTGCGCGCGTGCCGTCGCAAGAATCCCTTGCAACAAATGGGGCGAAGTGCACACGCGCGCGTCGTCGCGCGCGCACGCCAGAGTCATTCAAATACCTTTGGTGTCGTAAGGATTTCAAATCGAGGTGTCTCGAATATATATATATATAGAAACACATGGCTTTTGCAGCAGCAGTCGTCAACAACATCTTGCGCTCCGTGTCTTGCGACCTCTGAAGGAGATCATCGGTGCTCCAACAGTTTCCTCAAGTTCTGCCAGACGGGCCCGTCGCTCCGCATGTCGAACTCATGCGAACGCCCTTGCGCGCGTGCTGGGGGGGGGGGGCATGATCCGTGTCAAATAGTACCACGCTGGCCACTCGTGCGCGTCGGCCGCGCGCGCATGTCGAATTCCTTCGACAACCGCCACCGCCGACGCGAGGACGTCGTCATCGTTGTCGGCGGGCGTGATCAACATCGGCGCCACAGGTTGCGAGCGTGGCGATCGCCGCTAGCACAGTCAGGGACCTGGGCTCGGCAACCTCGCACTTATTTGCATACCTCCGTGCGCTCGCTGGGTAAGACAAGAAGGACGGGCACCGTATCTGTTCCCATCTAGGGCTCAAGGACACACCGAGCCGCAGGCGAGAACCCGCTGAAAAAAAGCAAGTGGCTGATCTGTCTGCTAGTGCGCCGCAGCCGCTGCCTGTCAGACTGGCCTCCAAGGGTGCCCCAGAACGGTTCTTCGGGGCCATCTTGGAACACGTTGGACATGCTGACTCCCGTCAGCGCATCCAGTGCCCCGCCTTGGTTCAATATAGAGGGAGGGGGAGAGGGGGAGAGAGAGAGAGATACAGAGAGATAGAGATAGATACTAGAGAGAGAGAGATAAGAGCACCATATATCCATAGAGACAGAGAAATATAACAACACATAGAGGAGGAGAGAGAGAGAGAGAGAGAGACAAACAACATAATGAACACGATAAGAAGAATGAGTGCGACGGTGCCAAAGTGAATGAAGAAACTCACCAGGCGTTGGTCTTAGAATTTGGCTTTCTGCGCAAAAAGGATTTGGTGTTTTGTGTACGAGGCACTCCTGTAGAAGCAAATGTGTGCGGGAGTCACCTCAGCACCGCTCAAAGAAATGAGGGTATGATTGTTCCTCTTTCCCCCCCTTTGCATGCAGAAGTGCACCTGCGAACGTAAGTCCCACCAAGCGCTTTTGAGAACAACGTCTAGCGTGTACCTGCGCTGGTGGGCATAGCTTCCACCAGTATTTTTGAGAACAGCCTCCGGTGCAACTTGCACAAGTGAGCATCATTATTGTCGAGTGGCACGCGGGCATCGGAGAACGAACAGCCCTATACAATATCAGTGCGGAGGGCGTTTTGACACATCGACTCGGTATGTGGAGATTGTGTTGCATACGTTTGAGAGCCCACGCACGGATTCAATGTGTGGAATGGTCATACGTAGGTTCCGTGTTGACATATTCGTTGCACCAGTTTATTTCGAGAGGGTGTATTCGAACATCTTATGGTCATGAGAATGGCGAAAGATGAGGATCAGAAGGAGGGGGTCGGAAAGAAGAGGGTGAGGAGGATAGGGGAGCCGCGTTCGCCTGGACAGCCTAGGCGGCTGATCGCAGTGCTTATTACATTGGATACATAGCGGTGTAAACGGGTAGGGCGTTTGGGGCAACGAAGTGTGTGTTTCTGTGTGTGTGTGCAAGAGAGGATGGAGTATCGGCAGGGGCCCAGTGGGATGTTGCGTGTGGAACGGACAGCGACTCCTCTTGCCAGGCGGCGGCCGCCGAGGAGCCCCGCCGAATGGTGGATATTCGTGTTTGCGATACTCTTCGGCGTCTGATGCGAAGGGCTGGGCGGCCCCTGGTCCGCTTGCATCTTGTGGCGTGCTGGTCGTCATGGCGTTACCTGGCGCGGGAAGCTGGACAGGATGGGGGACGCGAGGGGACTCATGGGGGACTTCGAGCGGTGGCGGTCTGGGAGGGGCCCTGGCAGAGACTCTACCTTTGTGGGAGAGTGGCGGGTTTCCAGGGCTTCGCAGGTGCGGTTCAGGCGCCCTCTCACCTCTGGTGTCCGCGATGTCTGTGTGAACCGCCAGCATTGAACCTCGATCAGCTAAGAGGCTCGTGCTCAATTGCAGAGATGATTGATGACGACGCCGGCGACGAATACGACAATGAAGGTAATTCTAATAAGAGACGACCAGGCCAATCATTCGATCCTTCGTTACGTGCAGTAGTGTTGGCAAGAAGCCACCATCGTGGCCGCCGCCAGTGTCGAGCCAGATTGGATGACTTCGATGGTGAGGACGATGCCACCGCCGTCGACAACGATGATGGTTAGAGAGCTTTGAAGGCGGACGGCTGGGAAGACGAGGAGGATGTGCCGAAGCAGGAAGAGGAAGGGGGCCCAAGAGGGCCCCAAAACGGTCCAACAGGGCCCCCAGACGGGCCCACAACGGCCCAAGAGGCCCCCAAGATCGTCCCCAGACGGCCCGCCGAGGCCCCGCCCAGGGGCCGAAAACGGTCCCAGAGGGTCCCCAGACGGCCCAAGAGGGCCCCAAAACGGCCCAAGAGGGCCCCCAGCGGGCCCCAAGAGGGCCCCAAGAGGCTCCCAAGCGGGCCCCAGGAGGAGGGGGACGAGGAGGAGGAGGAGGAGGAGGAGGATGAGGAAGAGGAGGAGGAGAAGAAGGAGAAGGAAGAGGGGGAGGAGGAGGAGGAGGAAGAGGAGGAGGATGAGGTGGAGGACGAGGAGGGGGGGGGAGGAGGAGGAAGGGGAGGAGGAGGAGGAAGGAGGTAGAATGAGGAGGAGGAGGAAGAGGAGGAGCAGGAGGAGAAAGAGGAAGAGAGAAGAGGAGGAGGGAGAGGAGGGAGAGGAGGTGGAGGAGGAGGAGGGAGAGGGAGGAGGAGGAGGAGGAGGAGGAGGAGGAGGAGAAAGAGGAGGAGGGTGAGGAGGAGGAGGAGGAGGAGGAGGAGGAGGAGGAGGAGGAGGAGAAAGAGGAGGAGGAGGAGGAGGAGGAGACAAAGGAGGTGGAGGAAAAGGACGATGACGAGGGAGGAGGAGGATGAAGAGGAGGAGGAGGAGGAAGAGGAGGAGAAGTCAGGAGGGGTTGGGGGAGTTGGAGGAGAAAGAGGAAGGAGGAGGAGGCAGAGGAGGAGAAGGAGGAGGAGGAGGAGGAGGGTGATATTATTAATAATAGTAATATTAACCATCATGCTAACAATACTAATTATAAGAGGGGGAGGAGGATGAAGAGGAGGACGAGGAGCAAGGCTCCCAATTGAGAGCGGTGACGTCGCACGCGCTTACCGGCAAGGCTCCCAAGAGCGAGCGGTGACGCAACAAGCTCTTGCCACCAAGGTTCCCAAGAGCGAGCGGCAACGTAAGTATCTCTGGGCACGAGGGCTGAACAGAGAGCGGTGCCGCAACAAGCTCTTCCCAGGAAGGTTCCCAACGGAGAGCGGCGACGTAACACGCGCTTACCAGCAAGGCTCCCAAGAACGAGCGGTGACGCAACAAGCTCTTGGCACCAAGGTTCCCAAGAACGGGCGGCAACGTAAAAGTCTCTGAACACCAGGGCTCCCAACAGAGAGCGGTGACTTAACTAGTTCTCAACACCAAGGCTCCAAAGAGCGAAGGGTGCCATGAGCCATCTCGGCAGGTTGCCGAAGCGCTCTTTCCGTCTCAGTGCCGGCCCCAGGCCTGGTGGCCACCGCGCCTGGGTTGTAGGTCAGAGGCCTCTTGGATGCCTGTTGGGGGATTTTTTGGGGGAGGACTCCTGGAATCCTTTTGGAGGCAGGTTTGGGGTTCCTTGGGGCCTCTCGGAGGTTTCTTGGGGGCCTCTTGGGGCCTCTTTTTGGCCTCTTGGCGGCCTCCTGGGGTTTCTGGAGGGCCACTTGGGGGCCTGCTGGCGGTCTCGCGGGTCATCCTGGGGCGGAGGGCTCTGCATGCCAGTTCGTGCGTACCCTCTTGGGCTCCTCTTGGGCCCCTCTTGGGCCCTCTTGGGCCCCTCTTGGGGCCCCCTTGAGCCGCCTTGGGGGCCTCCCAAGCCGTCGTGGAGCTCTCTTGGGCCCTTTTTGGGGCCGCTCGGGGGCCGTCTTCAGGCGATCTCGGGGTCCTGTTGGGTCGTCCTGGAGCGTCGGACGCCCGAGTTGGCGAGAACGCGCAATTCTGTCAAGCACCCGAGGGAGTCGGTTCTGCTTGCACCCTGTGGCCCCCTTTGGGCGGCCTCTTGGAGGCCCCCGGGGGCCTCGTGGGTATTACCTCGGGGTGCCTCGAGTCAAGATGGGGCGTCTTGGGGCGCTCCTGGGCCGCTCCAGGACGTTCTTGGACCGTCTTCGGGGCCCTCCCGGGGCCCTCCCCTTGAACGAGCTCGCGTTGCAATGCGCAGCACGGAGGACTTTCCGTGACCGGAGGGCACTCCATCTCGTACCTTGAGGCCCAGTGTCGGGGTTTTCTGCGTTCCCACTTCTTGACGCTTCGCGTATCCCCACCAGCTGTCGTGACCCGTAGCGCTTCTGACTCCGCTAGCGCCTTCGCTGGTGGACGCGAACGAAAAAATATCCCCACCAGCCCTTCTGAGCTGCCGCCCGTTCGGTTCTATCGGTTCTTTCCGCCCGTCTGAGCTGCCGCCCGTTTGCTGCGCCTGTCTGGCTTTTCCGCTCCCGCTGCCTAGTCGTCGCCCGGCTAGAGTTTGGACGCCTTTTGACCCGCTTTACGAGGCCGTTGACCAAAAAGTATCCCCACCAGCCGATCCAGAAACAGATCGCCAGGCGAGTTGCTTTGATCAGGGAAGTGTAGAATCTTGCAGTGCGGCAGTCGCCTTGGAAGTGTTTTCTCGGAGGCCTCCTGGAGCCATCTTGGGTCTCTCTTGGGGTGCTCGCGGAGCCACTTGTGCACTCTTAGGGCTCTCTTGGGGCTCCTTTGGGGGTCCAAAGGGCCCTCTTGGGGCTGTTTGGGGGGGTCTGGGAGGCCTCTTGGGGCCGTCTTGGCCCCCAGGGCTCACAAAGAGGGGGGTCGGAAATTCATCCCCCCCCCCCTCGGAGATTCAAATATTGCGACTTGGGTTCCTCTTGAGACGGCCTTGGAGCGCTCTTGGGGCCCTCTGGGAGCCCTCTTGGGCCCCTCTCGGGGCCCTCTGCGGCCGTCTTGGGGCAATCTTGAGGCCTCCGAGACCCATCGGAAGCGAATAGGCGAGAACGCAACAAAAGCATGGTTCCCTTTAGGATTGGGAACTGTTTTGGCTTCTTGCGGGGATCCTTGGAGGGTTCGAACGGCACTTCAAATCGTCTCAGGGCCATCTTCAGGCCTGTTGGATGTGTGCCGGAGGCTATTTTGACACATGTTGAGCTATCTCGAGCAGTCTGGGAGGCCAGCTTGCGCTCTCATAGGCCCTCTTGGAGCCATCTTAGGCCATCTTGGACGCTCGAACCCTTCGCCCCCCCTCCCAGGCCCAGGGGAGGGGGTAGGGGTCGGGGTTGAGGTCAAGAGTCTCCTTCCCCGCCAGCAAGCCGTCTCGCTCACTCCCACCCGCCCTCCCAACACATACGTAGCACCCGAGCCTGGCCCGAGCCGCAGCATATGCAGCAGTCTTTGGATGGGCAGCTACTGGGGGCGCATCCGCCTCCGCCGCCGCCGCCGCCGCCGCCCGCCGCCGCCGCTGCCGCGCCGCCGCCGCCGCTGTCCGCCGCCGCCGCCGCCGCCGCCCCGCGCGCCCCGCCGCCCGCCGCCGCCGCCCCCCCGCCGCCGCTGCCGCTGCCGAATCGCCGCCGCCGCCCCCGCCGCCGCCGCCGCCCCTGCCGCCGCCACCGCCGCTGCCGCCGCAGCCGCTGCCCCCGCCGCAACCGCCGCAACCGCCGCCGCCAAGAGTTGGTTAAAGTACCTACGCCCAGATGGCTGGTAGGATTTCTTCATCACCTATACATATGTTGTCCCTTATGTTTGTATACGGTTCGTTCTTACAGTCAACCACTGAGAGAAGGACCGTCTTGGGTTCGGAATAGGTTTGCTGCTCCTTGGGCCATTCCTTGCTTGTTCCTCAGGCCCTCCTCGTGTACCGATGTTTATTTTCGGGTGTCGGAGAGGGGCTTCCTTGTTGAGAGTTACTTCATGCACTTGCAGCAGTCCGATTGTATTAACATTCTCATATTCGGTATGCAACTTAGTGCTAGTATTATATGTCGTATCTCCATGTATGGTGCTACTCGTATTATTTCGGATGCTTGTGCCATCATGACTGTTGTCTGATGTTAGGTATTATTGTTATTATTATTCTTGTGATTCCTCTTACGAATGGTTTCTTTATCGCAGGGCCTCCCGCAGTCTTCTCTTTCCTCACTCATCGCATTGCCCTTGTTTGTCTTTGTCGCCGGGTCTTCCAGGAGCTTCCATGGGCCTCCCAGGGGCTTCGTGGGGGGCCTCCACGGGTTGGGGCTACGGGTGCCCTTGGAAGGGGGTTCTGCGGCGCCTGCAGCGACCTCCCCAGACTTCCACAGTGGGTGGCGCAGTGGCGCTGCGTGGACGGAAAACCCGGGCCTACTCGAAAACCTTCCCCATCTCTCGACATCGCGCGGGTGCCTCCTTAGAGCCTCAGGGGGCCTTCTTCGGCGCCGCGGCCGGGCGCGGCGCGAGAAGTGGAAGTCGTGACGGTGCACGGGAAGGGTTCAGTTAAAACGACGCGAAGATCGGGACAAAATCGGATCGGGATAACTCGAAATCTCTGAGAATCGGCGGGTTTGGAGGATGTATTGGGCGCCGCGGCCGCTCCAGAGCGTTCCGGAACGCTCTGAGAGCGCTCCGGAACGCTCTGGAGCGATTTATCCCGATCCTAGCCCTGTTTTATCAGTGCGGATTACTGGCCGAAGAGTCCCACCCGCGGCCCGCGAGTACTAACGTTGGACTTCAGGAGCTGCTGCGCCCCGTCATACCCACCACTCGAGCCCCTCCGACCCTCCGCTCGAGCCCCTCCGCCCCTCCTCCACCCCTCCGCCTGCCCTGCTGCCCCCTGCCCCTTCGCGTGCTCCTCGTCTCCGCGCGTCCTTGCGCCCATGCTTGCGCTGCGCCCATCTCGCCCTTCTGCGCGGCCCGCCGCCCCTTGTGTGTCCGTCGTGGCCCGCCCCTCCGCTCGGGCCTGCCACGCTGCGTCCTCGGCTAGGAGGGGGCCCGCTCCCCCGCGGCCCTCACGGCGGTCCTCGCGGCGGAGCACCAGGTTGCCGCCGCCGCCGGTGCAGCCCAGGCGTCCCAGCGGAACTCCGCCCGCCCTGGCCGCGACCGCCGCCAAGCGGTCGATCCATTGCACGCTTTGGGTGGGTGGCCTCCTGGGTCGTCGAGGGTTTTCGGGGGCTTTGGCGGAGGAGCAGGGTTGGATATTGGACACTTCGAGAGGGAGGCGGAGGCGGGTCGCAGCCGCTCCCGGGCCGCCTCTCAAGGAGGTGCGCTCGGCGATTAGGGAGCCCACGCTCAGATGCCCCAGACGGCCCGCACGGCCAAAGACAGCTGTTTCGGTACAAGGCCCCTCAAGGATGATGAAGGGGGCCCCAGGTGCGGCCCGAGGCTCCAAAGCACGGAGTCACAGCATCCCAGAACCCAGTCCAGCAGCGTTTCAAGCCGACCAACGTCCCTCTGCTTCCACATGGCATGGGCTGCCAGTTTACTCATAATTGGCAGTTCTGGTGCCTGGGATTATGGCTCTCCCCAGGGGTTGGGCACCACTCCGACCTGCAGGTATAAGATCATCTGATCATCTGGTAGAAGGCGGAGGGCGGAGTGAAGGTATCTCATCATATTCTACGTCTTGGTGGCGCTGATACTTGCGAGCTCGTGCACGGGACGGGAAACCATCTTCGAACCTCCCGTTGTCCCAGACGTGTTGTCGATGACCCCACGAGCACACCCGACCGCAGGCACCATGCCAGCCATCTCAGTGTGCGATTCGTCCGTCCAGAGACGCGCGCGTGTTTTTATATTTCAAGTAGTGTGGAAGTCCTCGTCGACGAGCACCCCGAAGGTCCTTAGCCGCCGTTGGCTGTGCGCCTTGAGGCCCCAGTCGTGAGCATGCGTGGGCTGAGTGATCCGGCTGCACTCGTGAGCTTGGGGGGTTGACCACGCGCACGTACACATCTTGGCGGTCGCGGCCTCGCGCGCAGCGACAAGGCGGAGAAACACACGCACACACACGCACGCACGCACGCACGCGCACGCACGCACGCACGCACGCACACACACACACACACACATACACACACATACACACACACACACACACGCACACGCACACGCACACGCACGCGCACGCGCACGCGCACGCGCACGCGCACGCGCACGCGCACGCGCACGCGCACGCGCACGCGCACGCGCACGCGCACGCGCACGCGCACGCGCACGCGCACGCGCACGCGCACGCGCACGCGCACGCGCACGCGCACGCGCACGCGCACGCGCACGCGCACGCGCACGCGCACGCGCACGCGCACGCGCACGCGCACGCGCACGCGCACGCGCACGCGCACGCGCACGCGCACGCGCACGCGCACACGCACACGCACACGCACACGCACACGCACCGCACGCACGCGCACGCACGCACGCGCACGCACGCGCACGCGCACACGCACACGCACACGCACACGCACACGCACACGCACGCACGCACACGCACCACGCACGCACGCACACGCACACGCACACGCGCACGCGCACGCGCACGCGCACGCGCACGCGCACGCGCACGCGCACGCACACGCAACACGCACACGCACACGCACACACGCACACGCACACGCACAACGCACACGCACACGCACACGCAACGCACACGCACATTCACACGCGCACGCGCACGCGCACGCACAACGCACACGCACACACGCACACGCACACGCGCACACGCGCACACGCGCACACGCGCACACACGCACACACGCACACACGCACACACGCACACACGCACACACGCACACACAAGCACACACACGCACACACACGCACACACACGCACACACACACGCACACACACACGCACACACACACACACGCACACACGCACACACACGCACACACGCACACACGCGCACACGCACACGCCCACACACGCACACACGCGCGCACGCACACCCACACACCCACACACCCACACACCCACACACCCACACACCCACACAGACACACAGACTCACAGACTCACAGACACACACACACTTTTAAGTCGGCGGCGCAGAGGGACACCAGGCGTGGTCGGCAGGTGGAAGGGCCAAGTGCGAATGAACTTCGTCGAACGCGCCATGATGAAAGAGCCCAGTCACGGCCATGCAGATTGGTGGTGGAAGACGAGAGGCGCTGCAATGCCAAAGTGCAGCGGCCGAGAATCTCGAGGAACATAAGCTCGATGCGGATAGTTTCAAGCGCAAGCAGCAGTTTGGTGTTGATTCAAGCTTCGAGGAGACAGCAACGAAAAAGAACAACTAAAAGGCTTTCAGACCCGCCAACCTGCTGGCGGTGCATACACGCAGGGGAACTGCGCGACAAAGCAACGCCACCGACTTTGCAGCGAGCAAGTAATGGATTGAGCGACCGTGCAACAGGGTGCATGAGGTCGGCGTGATATAGATGATCACGCGGCCGAGGCTGGCTTGGCCTTGGGCACACAGACACAGCCGAACGCGGGCGACCGCGAGCAGCAGCCGCGAAAGGCGGCGGCGCCCATGGGTGGTGGACAAAGCGCGAGCATGGCCGAGGGCGCAACGCAGACGCCAGCGTTAAACAACTGCAGATCCCAACCGCAACCAGAGATGCGAAGGCAGCCAGCGAGGCGGTGAAAGCAAGGCTAGGCAAGACTGAGCACATTATCTAGGCCCAGCAAACGCACACACACATATTCATACACACACGCACACACGCACGCACGCACCCACGCACGCCCGCACGCCCGCACGCCCGCCCACGCCCACGCACACGCACACGCACACACGCACGCCCACGCCCACGCCCACGCCCATGCCCACGCCCACGCCCACTACTGCGCCCACGCCCACGCCCGCGCCCACGCCCACGCCCACGCCCACGCTTACGCCCAAGCCTACGCCCACGCCCACGCTTACGCCCACGCCCGCGCCCACGCCCACGCCCGCGCCCACGCCCACGTCCACGCCCACGCCCACGCTCACGCCACACGCACACGCACACGCACACGCACGCGCACACGCAAACGCACACGCACACGCCCACGGACACGCATACGCAGACGCACACGCACACGCACACGTACCCGCGCACGCACACGTACATGCACACGCACACGCCTGCGGACACTCCCACGCAGACGCACACGCACACGCACACACGCACACACGCACGTACGCATGCACACACGCACGCACGCACGCACACACACATACACATCCCCACGCCCACACCACACACACACACACACTTTTTGCGTCGGCGGCTAGGCAGAGTCACTGCGCTGTCGGATAAGCGGTGGTAGGTCGGTCATACGAAACGCGAATTACGCCACGATGTGCGGGGAGGAAAGAGGAGGCGCCCGGCGGAGGCGGGAGGGAGACGGAAGCCGAACCCGCTCAGAGCAGGGCCAGGCGCGCGGCAGGGGCGACGCCGGGGGGGCGGCGGCTGGGGGAGGCGAAGCCGGCAAGGCGGGCTGCCAGGTAGCAGGCCGAGCAGGGGGACACGGACACGCCCACGCACACGCACACGCACACACGCACACGCACACACGCACGCATGCACGTACACACGCACGCACCCACGCACGCACGAACGCCCGCACGCACGCACGCACCCACGCCCACGCCCACGCCCACGCCCACGCCCACGCCCACGCCCACGTCACACGCACACGCACACGCGCACACACGCACACACGCACACACGCACACACGCACAACCACACGCCCACGTAGACGCAGACGGAAACGCACACGCACACACACACACACACACACACGCAAACGCACACACGCACACACGCACACACGCACACGTACGCGCCCACGCACACGCACACGCGCACGCACACGGCACACGCCCACGCACACGCCCACGCAGACGCACACGCACACACGCACACACGTACACACGCACCCACGCACACACGCACACACGCACACACGCACCAACACGCACGCACGCACACGCACACACAACACAACACACACACGCACACGCACACACGCACAACGCACACACACGCACACACATACACTCACCACTCACACTCACACCGCCACTCACACACACACACACACGCACACGCACACGCACCGCACACGCGCACGCGCACGCACACGCACACGCACACGCACGCGCACACGCACACGCACACGCACACGCCACACGCCACACGCACACGCACACGCACACGCACCACGCACACGCACACGCACACGCACACGCACACGGCACACGCACACGCGCCCGCGCACACGCACACGCACACGCACACGCACACGCACACGCACACGCACACGCACACGCACGCACACGCACACGCACACGCACACGCACACGCACACGCACACGCACACGCACACGCACACGCACACGCACACGAACACGCACACGCACACGCACACGCACACGCACACGCACACGCACACGCACACGCACACGCACACGCACACGCACACGCACTCGCACACGCACACGCACCGCACACGCACACGCACACGCACACGCACACGCACACGCACACGCACACGCACACGCACACGCACACGCACACGCACACGCACACGCACACGCACACGCACACGCACACGCACACGCACACGCACACGCACACGCACACGCACACGCACACGCACACGCACACGCACACGCAACGCGCACGCACGCGCACGCGCACGCGCACACGCGCACGCGCACGCGCACACGCGCACACGCGCACACGCGCACACGCGCACACGCGCACACGCGCACACGCGCACACGCGCACACGCGCACACGCGCACACGCGCACACGCGCACACGCGCACACGCGCACACGCGCACACGCGCACACGCGCACACGCGCACACGCGCACACGCGCACACGCACACGCGCACACGCGCACACGCGCACACGCGCACACGCGCACACGCACACACGCGCACACGCGCACACGCGCCAACACGCGCGCACACGCGCACACGCGCACACGCGCACACGCGCACACGCGCACACACACGCGCACACACGCACACACGCACACACGCGCACACGCGCACACGCGCACACGCACA